GATGAATGACAGGATGTGCATGAAACAGCCTTCCTACAGGCTGCTGGGCCCATTTACAGAAAAACTGAATTTCTCCCCAGGATGCCCAGGAAGGATCCCACATGGTGAGGACCAAGTGGTCACCTCCTGGTTGCCTTGTGTCCAGTTCACCAGCCTCTTCAAGACGCCACTGGTAGGCAGGGTGTGTAGTGCAAGTCTATAGTCCTAGCATTCTGGGAGGCTGAGTCAGGAGGATCACGATTTTGAGTCCAGCCTAGGCAATTTAAAAATGAAGTGAGACCCTGTCTCAAAAAAAAATTTTTTTAAAGATGCTAGGATGTAGCTCAGGGCAAAGGCCCTATGTTCAATCCCTACAATTGCCGAAAAAAAAGAAAGCCACTAGTAATCATGTAGAAAACCATCTCATGTTTCTAACATACAGCTTGAAATAAACTTGCATGAGCTAATGAATATTAGAAAACTGGAAAATGTTTTATTATTTAAGTTATTAGTTAAAACTGGAATTTTGCCCTATCCCTAAAATTCCCACCCCCCTCAGCTGAATACTGAAAATAAAAATAATAACAATGTACAAGTCAATTTTATTCTTTCCATATTTGTTAGAAATATCACAAATAATCTTCTAATTTAAAAAATCATATCCTGTTTGTGAACAACATTCTCCCAGAGTTGGGCCTCAGATAATACAAGCAAGAAGATGGATTTTTAAGATGGTAAGGGATGAGAAATAGAAAAAAAGAGGATTTATACAACAGTATAAACTATACATACTGATGAAAAAAATCCCCCTTGGCTTTTAGAAAATTCTATTTTTAAAGTGTTGGAAATGTGACATTTATTACTGGAATGTTGGGTCTATGGCCTACTATTTTTTAATAAACCAGCAGAAAATAGGAGGAAAATACTAAAAAATAGGGCAAACTTAAATTTAAACAAGACAAGAAGACAGAGGCATTTCAAAGACACAGCATCAAGTACCTCCTCTGACCTGGCTAGCCAAGTAGGAGGAAATTGAGCATCATCTTTTTATCCATTGCTGGTCTGAGAGTCCTTGGAGTGTTCAGTTATTTCCAGGACTTGGACATGGTGCCTGATAATCTCATTTTGGGGTGGTGCTTGGCTTTTTAATTATACTAATTGCTTGTTGGCTCCTCCAGAGCAGGCTTCTGAGACCTGCATTCACAGTCAGCACGGTACCCTCTGTAGAGGTAGGGACAGTAATAGCAGCAGCCGAGGCATCGGCTAAGGAAACCACAGATCCACTGATTGCTTCCAAGGGTTCTCCAGACAGCTGACAGTTCTGCAAAGTGAATAGCAGCACACGTGGGGAAAGAGCAGAGGAGCCTCTCTTTCTTCCTGATGTGTGCCTTAAAAAAATCTTTTTCAGTATCAGCTAAGCAGCTTTCTTGGACCAGGAGATGAACCAATACTCTCCCTTCCTGAGCAGGCCCTCAAGTAAAAGCAGGACATGATGGGGCTGTGGTTATTAAAAAGGATGAAGAAAGCTGACCCAGCAAGTGGACCCAAGACACAGACTCAGTGAGATACATGGATTTCAGCATGATATCGGGGTGTCACTTTCCCCAAAGTGGTCCCTCTTGCACTGCTAGGCAGGCTTTGAAAACCAAACCCTGCTTTTAGGCAGCAGGGCCAGGAATATCCCTTTCCTGACCTCTTTTCCTCTTCTGCCATGTGGAGCTCTGACGCCCATAACTAAAAATCAAGTTCATAATTTAATTTGGGAGGATCAGTTGGCAAATGTTCATTAAACAATTGGGTCTTTGGAAACGCTATCTTTAGATTTTTTTTTAATTGACCTATTATTTTGCTTGCTCTGGCTGCCAGAACCCCCACCGAAAACAAGGAGATGTTCGCTACCTGGACTTCCTTTGATGAATAGTTTTAATTAAAAAATTCTGTACTATAAGTATTTTAATGTTACCAACATACCAAAGGTATGCGGTCATAAATTTAAAAACACATTTAAATTAATCTATAAATATGCTGTGAAATTGACAGGGTATATTTAAGCAGGGGGATGTGGCATAGATAGCTAATGATGACAATTAAGAATCGTGTAAAATAAATGAAAATCAATACTCAGAACAGTTTGGCAAAAAGGAAAAAAGAGAGGAATTGAAACAACATGTAGTTTGTCTATTGGGGAAAAATTAGCAGCTGCTTGTAGTCATGAAATATCTGCTGCACTGGAGAAAAGGCTGCTGGTGGCATTGTTTTCTCATTTTCATGGATCATAAAAACTCCCCGGAAACCCTGCTGGGTGACAAGACAGACCTACTTGGGCTGGGTGGTTTGGGAAGAGGAAGGCTCTGTCTTAATTCCCTAAACAAAATGCACACCTTGCTGGTTAGAGATGGGAAGGAAGCCATCCAAAGTAAGCTATGCGCCTAGATGCTGACCCAAGCACACTTAGATATTTTTTTGCACACAATGATCTGGGTTTTTTTTTTCCATTTTAAGCACCATATGATATGGGGGAGCATTCTCCAAGAGGTACAATCTTTGGGGGCCAAGACAGGTAGCTACCTATGTTACCAACACTCAAAGGGGCAAAGGATGCTCAGGGACCTCTCTGAGTATCCTTGCAAAAAACACCGTCTGCAAAGAGATAAGAATGTGCTGCTGCCACTAATTCACAGAGCACTTTGCTGAGCCAAACCAGGAGCTATGCACTAACCTTCATTACTACATTCATATTAAAAGACAACTTTGCGTCTTTCAATCATGTATTTCCCTCTAATTAAGGCATATTCACTTTTTTCCCCTAATTAGGTATTCTTTGTTGCATAATGTTTGCTCTAATCTTTCGGAATCTTTCTCAATATCCAGTCATTACAGGCTCCCCTCCAATTCCACCAAAGCATGTTATTTTTTCTGCTAATTATACCCTCATTTACAGATTGGAGCCTCTTCTGATTGGCTCCGTGCACCAGTTGCTATGACTTCATTAGTCGTGTCTCCTGACCCTGTTATTTCTTGTGACAGGACTTGCTCCTCGTGTCCTGTGGCTCCAGATCCCTGGGTCACTTCTCGCCAGGGTTGAAGTAGTGTCAAACACATGGGGGTTTAGGGTGCAGGAATCACTGCTGCTATGGCTAATTACTACACACAGCAATGCTACAAATTACCGCTGCTGGCTGGGCCTTTCTTTCCTCCTCTTTCTTTCTTCTTCTCCTTCTTTTTTTTTTTTTTTTTTAATGAATGTTTTAAAGGTGTCATTAACAGGTTAGTTTCATTTAAAAAATGTTTCTGATTAAAAAAAAAAAAAGCTAAATGTGTCTCCTGCTACAGAAGCTATCTTTCAAGTACAAAATCTCAAAACCTTTAGTTTTTGAATGGGGTTGCTTCCATGTGAGCACAGAACTCCTGTCCCATCTCAGTTATTGCCAACCTCAAAGAAAAAAATATCATGAAATTCTTAAAATCTCACAAGTGATCCTCATAGAATTTTCTAACCCGAGGTATACACAAATAAAATAAAAAGCACACAAATTTAAAAAAAAAAAAAAGAAACAACTACGTAAAGCTACAACTCATGAATACAAATTATGGTTGTTAAAAAATCACATGATGCAACTCTCTGAGAAACCAGATTATTTTTATTTATTTATTATTATTTTTTTTTGGTACCAGGGATTGAACTAGGGTCCTTGGGCTTTCGAGGCAGGCGGCGGAACCGCTGAGCTAAATCCCCGGCCCCTTAAATCCCCTATTTTTTAAAAAAAAGTATTTAAGATTAGACAAGATATGTACAGAGATAATTAAAATAAATGACTACATTTGAGTATTGATGCTATCTTTTTAATAACCAGAAAGATGCAACAAGACAGGAGAATTTGGGGTTACCCAGGGAAGACAGAGTGTTGTGATCCCCACTTTCAAATTCTAGGCCCTGGGACTAACCCCGTTTCCTGAAATAAGAGACCGGGAAGACTCAAGCCTGCAGAGTTTAAATGCAAGTTAGTTAATATGAAAAATGCTGTATCTAGTTGTTTGCAAAATTACTTTTGTTGATTAAAAGGCTCTTCAGAACTTCCGGCTGGTGAAAGGGTTTTAAATTGTCTAATGCTGATTGTGATTGCTATGCAGAAAAAAGGCAGTGCAAAGCAAACCATTATATCACTGAATCTTTGTTAAGCAGGCCTTGAAAGTGTCTGACAGCATAATTAATCTTGTGATATGAACAAAGAAACCAACTCAATAGTATTGAAGATGCTTATTAAAAATACTAAATACCTTTTTCCACTTAAAAACCTTTTGAAACAGTGTGGGAAGTGGCATTACCTTTTTGTTTTTGCAGCATTTTCAACTAAAATTGATACTAGGGTCTATAGCACAGCAGCAAAACTGTGAAGTGGACAACAATAAGAATTAGTTTAAAAGAAATGTGATTCTCCAACCAAGAACGCCGGCTGGGCACACCAACCTGGAGGCTGCAGGCTCTGCCAAATCCCTTGCCAGCAATCCCATTTGCCAAAGTTTTGGCAGAATGAATGGTGGTAGCAAAACCCTACAGAACTGGGACCTTCCTGGAAATTGTTCTTTGCATTCAGAGATCACAAGTGAGGGCTGTGCCTACAACTATTTATGGTTCCAAAGAGCTTCTGAGGCACAGGACATTTTTGGATTATTGGGGCTTCCTCTTTGTTAGGGACCAGCTCTCCAGGGCTTTCTGAGTCCTCTGAAGACCTCAGCCATGTCCTTGGCATGGGACAACAACTGCGGCCCTCGGTGAGCTTCAGTACTATTCCTAACCTGTGCTGGCCACAGTGGGTGTGACAATAGTGACCTCACTCTCCTGCAGGCTTCAGTCACTGGGGATAGGGAGGGGGACTGGTGGGCAGAGCTGATAGGGAATTTTCTCTGTGTCAGCTATAATTTTTACCTGGGATGGTGACTAAGGAGAGCAATGGTATGTGACACACTTGAAGTTGCCAATTGTTAGGTAACTAAAAGGCCACACAATGCAGCCACTTCAGTGTTTGCAGCAATAGCATTTATTGAGCTCCTATAGCTGTGGGATGATATGGGGCTTGGCTCATCTTGGGTGGGCAGTTCCACTGATTGTGCCTAGAACTGGCTTCTGCATCTGCATGTCTGCTGCACTGGATCAGTCTTGGCTGGAGCAGCCTGGGGCAGCTCAGGTCTGCATGCCCCAACTCATTCTCACACAAACATTTTCTTCTTGGGTGACGGAAGATGCACAAGGAAGCAAGTGGAAAGACAAGAAGGATCCTCAGATCTGGGCCCAAACTGGGGTGAATTTCATGGGAGTCACAAAAAAGTAGTCATTGGAACAGAAATATTTTGAGAGGAGGCACCGAAAGGATTGTATTCATGTGTTTGTTTTTTATCATACTTAAGACTGTCTTTAGTTGTGCATTCATGGCCAGCTTGATACCCTGAATCGACTCATTTACCTTTCACTTTGACCTTTGGAGAAGATCCAGAAGTCATACCATACTAAATCAGGTGAATAATGTGGATGAGGAAACACTAATGTTTTTATGAGCCTGTCTTTCCATTGGATGGCACTCAGTTGTAGCGTTCACCAATTTTTGGTCATACTTCACAAAGGTACTCGTGAAAGAGGACTTACAGAACTGCTTTGTGACAAGAACAATGAGATAGATGTGTTTGAAGCAAGGGGGAGTATCTGGGGAAGGATTAAAGGCAATGTACCTTTTACTTGAATGATTTTTTTAGAAATTTAAATAATTACAATAGTTTTCAATCACTTCTTGTGCACTCTGTATGTTTTGATTAGTTTTAACCCTTAGTTATAATTCAAACTCTAGCAAAATAAAAATAACAGTCAATACTTTTTAACTTTTGAATTGCGAGAAGTTAATTTGAATGGAATATATGTTGTCCATTATGTCAGTAATTGAAAGACAGCTGGGTGGGAAAAGCAGAGATTGGAAAGGGATGGTCAGTAGTGGTGAATCAATGGCACACGTGCCACAGCAGGCTGTTTGTTATCATTGAAAACTCTAAAAGGTTCGCCATTGCTGGTTAAACTATCACCATCTGCAGGTGATAAGATCATGTATCAAACAAACATACAAACAAAAAATCCAAAATCAGAGCAAGAACTGTTCTAACTAATAAGAAAGATTTTTATTTGTCAATTATATATATCAATGAAGTGGGCGGAGGAGTTCAGCAAGATGGCTGGATGGAATGTCAAATTAAAAAATAAAATCAAATCCTATTCCTTTTTATCAACTATAACCAACTAGGAAACATAAGTTACAAATATGATACCTTTAAAAATAGCAATAACATGCAAAGTCTAAAGAAATGATACTTTAAAATCTCTGATGGCATAACTTACATAAATGCATCAGTTTTCCTATACTTACTCTGTAAATTCAATTCAAATAAAAAGTCCAGATGAATATTTTTTAGAAAATTGACACATTTACCCTAAAGTTAGGTGAAATTAATATATAAAAGTCATTAGTTTGATGCTAAAATCAAAAATTAAATAAGGAAGATTGTACCAAGTATAAAGTAACATTAAGAAGTCACAGCAATATAAATGGCATGGTATTGGCAAAGAACACAACAACTAGTAGACAAATTTTAACATAGATCTAAGGAGAAAGGCCAAATTTATTAGTAGGTGATTAAGGCCAAAACTAGATTACTCTTTAGAGAAATATAAAACAATATCTCTATTTAATGTCACATTTGAATGGACTCTAACTGGGTTAAAATATGAAAAATCTGAATGGTTAAAATGTATAATTATTAGAGGAAAACATAGTATCATTGTGACTTTGGAAGTGGAGAGTATTTTCTAAAGAGAACTTCAAAAACTCAAATGACTAGCAAAACAGATCTGACAGATTTGATCGCGTGAAAACAAAGAGTTTTGGTTCAGTGAAAGACACCTTGGAGGATGATAATAAGCCCAAACTGCAAAGGGATAACACCCAGACAGTAACTCCAAAGGGAAAATGACCAAATCATACGTTTATAGGCAACTTATAGAAAATTCCAAACTCTAGTAAGTTTAAAGAGTGAGGCTGAAAAATCATTGGTCATCAGAGAAATGCAAATATGAACAAAAAAGTGCCATTTTATATTTCCATAAAACTTGGGCTGCCGGAAACTCCTGAGTACATACAGGGATGACAGACTAGCGGGCACTTTTGATGTGCTAGGGGCAATATTTGCTGGTGCACCCATTCTGGAGGGCAACTGCCACTGCTGAGTCAGACTAAGGGCGTACTCTACAACTCAGGGTGGTTTCCTGGAAAACAGATGCTCAGTATAAGCAGTCAGTTTACTGGAGCACATGCTCAGAATCAACATTCGGAGGAGTGATGCTTATGACATCACCAAAAAGGTCTCAGCTGTTAGGTCCATCCTACAGGTGTCTGCAGAGCTAGGGTGGCCCTCATTCCACCTGAGACAGGGGACAGGAATCTTGGGCAAAGCAGCGTTCTTCCTTCCCTGATAGCCAACATGCTCAGTAGCTGAGGGCTCTCTTGGTCTGGAAGAGGATACGTGAGTGGCCCACCATCTCAACCTTCATAGCCTGTGACCCAGGAGTTCTAGCATTGGATCCATCCTCAAGGATAAATGGATATTTGGAGGGATACATGGATATTGATCACAGAATTGCAGAATTGATTATTGGAGACAAGAGTTGGGAGCCTGTATGTGTAACCCTGAGAAGATTAGCAAAATGTGGAAACACATAGTCACCCAAAGCAGCTGATTTTATATACACAAAGTAACATGGATCTTAACATTTACAAAAATTAAAATACGTGTGCAGTAGCAACAGCATATATTTGCCAAGAACACAGATTAATGAATAGATAAGCAGTAAACACATGACAGTTGTTTTCTGTGGGAGGAAGGGAATGGGATTAAGAGAGAACAAATACACAAATACAAAGAGGGGTCTTGTATAGATCAGTGGTGACAATATATAATGTGAGTAAGGATTATGATTAAATTGACTCTCTGCATCTGAGTCTCAACAGTGCAGAAGTCATAATAGGGTTAGAAACGTGTAACCATTATTTAGGCCAGCCTCAGTTCATTCCACATAACATTTTTTAAACACATCTAACCTGAAGAAGGCCCTCATGGAGTTGTGGTCAACTAGTATTATCTATCTTCCAGGGAAGCAGGACCAGGGGTACTTTCCCACATCTTCTGGACTTACATTTTCACATTTGAATCTAATTAAGAGTTTTTAAAGGTCTCGAAGAAAGAAGCTTAAGTTCTTTCTTCATATTTTGTATTTAGCTTGAAGAGAAGAAATCCAAGCATGAGGTTGGAAAAGATGCTGCCAATGGAAAGGAGGCACAGTGAAAATTGAAATTAGGAGAGGGAAGAAGAGAGAGGTGGACCCTTCCAGCAGAGCGTAAGGCATTCCTGGAGGAAACACAAGGGAAAAGTGAACTTTTACAATGAGGGGGTGAAACAAAGTTAAAGAGATACTCAAGTATTTTTAAGCTGTGAAACTGCCAAAGAGAATTTGAGGCAGAAAGTACACAGTCCACATGGGGAAAGGTTTTTTATAGAAAAATCCAGTTTCTAGGATATTCTTATCACAGGGCTAGGAAGCAGAAAACAGATTCAGAACAATGGCTTTGTGAGACTTAATGGCAAGAGATTCCAGCCTCCTCCCTGAAGACCTGGACTCTAGAAAGTGAGAATATGCACAAGAAGATGCATTCCTAAACAATCTGTGTCCTAGTACTGACCGACAGAGCCACGCTCTGATACCTCAGACAAGTTCTTCCCTCCATGAACCTCAGCTTGCCCATCTGTAAAATAAAAATGTCAGCTGCCTTGTGGTGGTGCTTTCAGAAATTCTAGAACACGAGGTAAGAGAGTGATGTAAGAATGTGTTGACAAAATCTCTACCCCAGATACCAGGGAGCTACAGGAACTCGGCTGAGTCCTATCATATAAGCACCAAATGAATGGGATTCTTTGCTTAAGAGGAGGAGGAGGAAGAGAAAGAGGAGGAGAAGCAGAAAGAGGGGGGTTGGGAGGTTGTAGGAGAGGAGAAAGAAAAATAATAATTTAAATGGTGTGGCTGATGTCTTTTGCCATTCTCTTGGTCAGTTACACTGTAAGCATCTTATTATCCTTATGTAAACTTAGAGTTTATATATATATATATATGTATATATACATGCATATATATTTAACTGTGTGTATGTTTATATATATATATACGTATGTGTATATATATGGCATATTATATGGCCTAATAATGTATGTAAGAGAGCTATATCATATTACTCAAGGGAAGTAGCAAAAATGTATTCCAACTCTGGAGAGAAAATAAATCTGGCCCTGCTGGACTTCTTGAAAATTGGCATATCTGTACATGAGTATAAAGTGGGATGATTGGGTTTTATTATTATTGTTATTGTTACTATGCAGTCCCAGGTATTGAACCTAGGGCCTTTGCACTGAACAACATCTCTAGCTCTTTTTTGTACTGTATTTTGGGTCAGGGTTTTGCTAAGTCACTAATTTACCCAGGCTGGGCTCAAATATGCAGTCCTCCTGCCTTAGACTTTCAGAGTGCTAGGATTATAGACATTTGCCAATCTGCCTGACTATGATTTGGATTTTAAAGGCTAATGTTGATCAGACAAGATTGTTTTCATTTTTTTGTACGACTAGGCATGTACCAGTACGATAGTTCCAGCATCTAGTACTTGCTTCCTATGTATGAGCTCTTCCCCATTTTATAAGGCAGAGACCACTTGTCTCCACTGAAGGCAAAGTTCTCATTAATTTTCTATCTGCCTCTGGCCTAAGTCATGGGGCCATGAGTCTTTGAATTAACCTCAGTGAAGCCACAAATTGGAGACTGCACGGACCACACTCCACAGAATGCAGTGCCAGCAAAGTGCTCCAGCCTCAATTTCTGAGCCATCAACAGCGCAGTGACAGGATAAGGGGTGGAGTGTAGCATCTTTGGTGCTGGTGACATGGACTGTGACGTCCAGACTCTGTGGTTGTGACCATAAATGGACCACAGGGCCTTTGTGGCATGCTCAGATATCCTTTCCTGTTACAAAACTTCCAAGCTTGCCTGTACAGTCCTTCTGAATATAAAGTTTATTCAAAATCCTTTTAGTAATATTTTGTTCTTGAATTAGTCTGATGCTTGAATCCAAATGCAGTCTTTAAAATGCTCAAAAGCAAGATGTTCAGACTTCTTTACTTACATATTTGATTTAGTTTACCAGTGAAGCTCTCTGGATTTGAAGTTTTCATGGTGAAGCATTCTTTAATTGCTGCAAGTTGTTGTTATTCATAAGGTGGTCTATTTAAAATTTCTATTTCTTCTGGTGGAATTTGCATCTTTGTATTGTCTTTCATTTCTTCTAGTTGGTTGAGGTTATTTACATTAAATTGTTCATAATATTCCCTTATTATCTTTTAAATGCCAGTAGCATTTGTGTGCTGTCCCCTCCTTCCTTCCTTCTGATTATTCTTCTTGTATATCTTCTCTTTTATCATGATGTTTGAGCAGAGGTTTGTTGATTTTATTCAAGCCAAACAATGTTTGGCTTAACTGATTTTTTCCTACAGTTTGTATATTTCTATTTGTATTGGTTTGTGCATCTTATTATTTCTTTTCTCCCACTTATTTGGGTTTAATCTGTTCCTTTTTTTAATCTGTTCTAACTTACTAAGGTATAAATTTATGTCTTTTCTTTCAGAGTTTTTTCTAAAATCATATTTTCCTCTGAAGAATTTCTTTAGTTGTATCTGAATAAATTATATTGTGCTTCATTCTGTTCAGATTTTTTTGATTTAATTTTTTTGATCCATGAGATTCTTACAATATTTTCCCCAAACATTTGGGTATTTTTTAGATTTTTTAAAATTATTGATTTCTGTCATGTTATAAATATATCTTGCAAGACTCTAGTCCTTTAACATGCAATAATGGTTAATGTTTAAGCATATTGTCCATCATTGGTGAATGTTCTTTGTACAAATTGGAAAAGAAATATATTTTTGTGCATACATGTTTAAGTGTGTTATATTTTAAGATTTGAGGATTGTATACCTATGAAACGTCTCCTTTTATCTCCAATAATAGTCTTTGTACTGACATCTACTTTGTCTTATGTTAATATACCTATGGTAGTCACTTCACAATTAAGTTTTCATGGTATATTTTTGCTACGCTTTTAAATATTTTGTGGATTTGTTTTCAAAGTAAATTTCTTTTAGGTAAATACTCATCTTTGACATTCAAGAGCAAGAAAAATAGATATCAAGGTAATCTTTAAATTTCTTAACTCACATTTTTTGTACTTTCATAACTCCTTTTTTTTTGGTACCAGAGATCGAACTCGGGACCTTGAGCTTGCCAGGCAGGCAGAGGCACCACTGAGCTAAATCCCTGGCTCATAACTCTTTTTTGCCAACATGCATAATTATAAATAGATATTTTTCTTAACGTATAGAAATAATCTTTTTTTTTTTTTGGTACCGGGGATTGAACTCCAGTCCTTGTGCTTGTGCACCAGGTGGTGAAACCACTGAGCTAAATCCCTGGCCCTAGAAATAATCTTTACTTGATGTTTGGTAATAGAGCATATTTTAAAAAGGAATAATAATAATTCAAAATTAATGCCACATGAAGTTAAGATTTTGAAAAAGAATACTATAAAATTTAATGTCCAAAGCTATCATTTAAAAAAATAAGACATGTGAAGTATTAATTGTTCTATGCACTAATCTTTACCATTTTTTAGGACAAACACTATGAATGCAGAAAATTTTCTCTCATGTTTACATTTATGTTGGTTGATCTGCTAAGGGTGTGTCCATTCCAGACATCCTCAAATTGGGTTTTTAGGTCACATGCTCATTCATGAGATTATTGTCTTGTTCCAATAAGAATTGTTCGCTTATCTTGATTTTGGTTTTGCCATTGCAATTGATACTGCTTTCACAATATTAGATTTTAAATCAGTTTCTAGTCTACTCCACAAACACGTATTTACAACATGGCAATAGCTAGGACCAAGGCTAACTGGTTATGTAACAGCTGTCTCTCTCTAACCCACTCCTTCCTTGACTTCTATAAATGTTTATCTTAACCTTAGGCTCTGCATGTCAGTGTTTCCTGCTCTTATTCTTGAGTTAACATCAGTAGATTCCTTAAAATCAGTAGCATAGCTATATTTATTATTAAGCTTTAATTTGTACCTAAGATTTATATTTTTCTTGTCTTCCTAATTTCTTGTCTGAAATATGTAAAATTTTCAAAATTCAGAGAAGGAATTTCCATATGAAAACATTAATCAAGTATTTGCATCTTCTTTCTTCATCTTCAAATCTGATAATCTCTGGCTTTAAATTTATATGTATGCTAGACTATTTACATTTAATATAATTATTAATATGGCAGTGTTTAAATGTACCATCTTCCTATTTGTCTCATATTTCTCCCCTCTGTTTTTTGCTTCTTTTTATTCTTCTCTTACTTTCTTTTCAGTCAATTAAGTAGTTTTTAGTATTCAACTTTATTTCTACCTGGGGCTCACTAGGTATACTGTGGGTTGGAAATGCAGTTTAGTGGTAGAGCCCTTGCCTAGCATGCATGAGGCCCTGGGTCTGATTCTCAACACAACAACAACAACAACTATATATATATATATATATATATATATATATATATAAAATCATAATATATATTATATACATACAGTATATACATACTGTTTAATTCCATTTCTTAGTGATTGTTTATGGTTGTCCATGTGTTTATCTTCTTATAGGATACTTTAATAGACTATTTAGGCCACTTCATGGGTAATATAAGCACCTTAAAATAATATCTTCTTCTTTCCCCTTCCCATTCTCCCATGCCTTTGTGCTACATATGTAAGTTCTAGAGATACTATCAACTACACACCTATCTTCATCAATATCTTTTAAAAGTTCTCATCCTTCAAAACTTACTTTATGATTACTTACTTATTTACAATTTCTGTTGCTCCTCAGCTTTTTTAAAGATCTGAGTTTCAATTTGACCACAGGTTTCTTCTACCTAAAAGGCTTCCTTTAGTATTTCTTGTAGTATTTGCTGTACTTGAAGTGCTCTTCCCCATTTACCTGCAGTGCTAGTTGCTTCCCCTCTATGTCTTTGCTCAAATGTCACTGTCTACATGAGGTCCTTCAGCCCTGTATTAATACTGTGATGTCCTGCTGCTGTGGCTATGACCCTCCCTGCTTCATTTTTCTTATAGTACATTATAAAAGCTGACCTGCCTGATTATTTTTTGAATTTTTTTGTTTTGGTTTTGTTTTATCTCCTACAGTTAGAGGGGAAAGTCCATCAGAGCAGGGAATTTTATTTATTTTGTTTTCTCATATGCCTATATACTAGTGGCTGGTAGTTTTAGAAAGGACATGATAGGGTTTTAAACACAAACTAGGAATTTAACTGCATGTGAGTACATAGCTAGAATGAAATTAATTAATGGTTCAGAAAAAATTATGTGGTTCAAATTAGCATAAATATTAAAATTTTTAAAAAATAATGCAATACATAATTTGGGGAAGTATTTGAATTTTTTCCTACTTCCTCTCCACCCTTCTTCTATTTTGGTCTTTATTTGTATATTTAGATATATTTTGGGTTTCTCATCTGAGAGAAACCATGCGATATTCGAGCTTGTGTATGACTCATTTCACTTAAATTGCATCCATTTACCTAAAATGCTTGAAGTTTATCTTTTTTATGACAGAGTAGTACTCCATTGTGTATAAATATCACATTTTCCTTATCCATTCATCTGTTGATGGACATATACTCTGTTTCCAAGATCTAGCTATTATAAATGTGCTGCTAACTTGTTTCATTTATACTACGAGTTTATCTTAGTTCATTGGAAAGAAAGATTTATGTCACTATCTGTTTCCTTTTGTAAGAATCTTTTCTGATTATGTCTTCTACTCTGAGTAACTACTTTGAAGGTAACACTGTGTATTAACTATTATTATTCTCCTATTATTTTGTTATGAAATTTTGGTTTTTCATAAAATTTTTAAAAATGTGGTTCAGGCAGATGCTCACTGGCCAGAGCCTAATTCTGAGCCCTCCCAGGGATTGCAAAATGTCTCCAAGACATTTTCGACACATGCCATGCCCTCCTCAAATAAAAGTAGTTGGCAGACTAGGGAAATCAGTATGGTGGTTCCTCAAAATAACAAAAAAGAAAAAATAGATCTATCGTCTGATTCAACGATACCACTCCTTACTATGCACCCAAAGGAATTCAAGTTAGCATACTCTTGGGATGCCAGCATACCCATGTTTATTTCAGCACAATTCATGATAGTCAATATGGATGGACATCAACAGATGGATGGATAAAGAAAATGTGGCATATATGCACAATGGAGTATTATTCAGCCATAAAGAAGAAAAAAATTATCATTTGCAGAAAAATGGATGGACCTGGAGATTATCAGGTTCAGTGAAATAATCCAGACTCAGGAACATAGCAACTCCATGTTTTTCCTAATATGTGGAATCTGAAATAGGTGACAAGAAAGAAAAAAGGAGAGTATTATTAGACCAGAAAAAGGGAATAAAGGGGAATGGCAAAGGGTATAAGGATGAGTAACAAGGGGGATAGATATGATATATATAGAGAGAGAGAAATTTAAAAATATTGTGAAGCTAAGGGATGAGGGTGGGGCAAAGGAATGATGATGGTGAAAATAACATAAAATACGTTATATGCAGGTACAAATGTGCCAAAATGAAATCCATTTGTATGACTAATAAAAAAGATGTGAGGGAAGAAAAGAAGCATGCTGGGCAGATTACCTCATCCTGGCTCTGCAGGTGGTACAAGAAATCCAAAAGAAGAAAGAACTTCTTCACTGGGAAAGAGCTTCGTAAACCCACTAGACACCATCTGATTTCCAGCAACTGCCTCCTTCTCAGGTCTCTCTCCCTCTCTCCCTCTCTCTCTCTCTCTCTCTCTCTCTCTCTCTCTCTCTCTCTCCTCTCTTTGCCCAACATGACATCCTCCTCCAGTATAAGATTAGGCAATGGAGCATTCTTGCCAGAAGCTCTTGATGTAATTGAGATGAGGTTCCTGTGGACTGGCACAACTTTAGGATGTGGGAGAAAGAGCCTTACTCTGCACGGTCTGGGAGGCTTTCTTTCGCTTGATGAAATAACTCTGCATTTAGCTTTGAAGCTGCAGTCTTGGGTCGGTTCCCACCTCATAGGTACCAAACAACTCCCTGGAACTTCTCCCCTCTCCCTCTCCCCTCCAGATATGTATCCTGACATCCTTCACTTGTCCCTCATCCAGTAAACAAGGTCTTGGTAACATATAAACATGATTTATGAAAACAAATCTTCCCCTAAATCTGCTTGGAGAAGCAGCGTCACACGGCTGTAAGCAAAGATGAAAGACCTCTACTAACAGGGCCCACATCTGCGCAGGGCGGGAGGCAACTTGAGTCTCTGCCAGTCTCTACCTCACAAAGAGCGTGCACTAGATTTGATAATGAGACTGTGGCAGATCTTGGCTCCATCCCTCCTAAGGCAGAGCTTCCTGTCCCATCCACTCTCCCAAGCATGGGGAGAGATGGGCCGTTTTCACTCGCATGTTGCAGATGAGGAGATGCAGGCTCTGAAGAGTAAGTAACCTGTCCACAGGCCTAGACCTGATGCATGGGAGAGCTGGGGCACTGGCAGTAGGACAGGAAAACAATGATGGTTAGTAGGGTCCACATAGAAGGACAAACCATTAGAGAAAGATTCAGAACAAAACCTGGCCTTATGCATCTGATTGGGGTGTCTCCATGCACCCAGTTGTTTAGATTATTGTTAATTCTCTGGCTGTGCTTTTTCTGTGTGGACACCACCTGCCCAACACACACAGGCCAATCAATAGAGACAGTAATTGGGAAATATTTGAGTTGGGTGGGGCTAGAAGGGAGAGGCAGCATCCCGGTGAGCCCCAGTAAGAAAGAAGGCTCTGTGTGCAATGCTGTCAAGGCCCTGGTCACAACTGGCCCCACACAACTGTGGGGGCTCCTAAAGGGCAGAATCTGCCAAGATACTAATCAGCTCTTCCCGTCTTAGTCCTCAAACAAGTGAGAACTAGACCAGGCATCAGGGAGGTATGGAAACATCAGCCAGTGTGACTGCTTGTAGAGCTGTATTTGATCAAGAACCAGCAGTCTTCTTATCTGCCTCCATCTAGACCCAGACCACTTACCAATCCAGCTGTAGCAGAGTCCAGATGCAGGCCAGCTTTGTACTCGATCCTGAGGACAGAGATGGAGGTAGGTCCCAAACCTGCTGGCAAAGGTGTACTGCCACATGGAAGCAGGAACCAAGAGCACTTGCCTTACACCCACCAAAGAGCAAATTAGGAACAGCCACAGAGCACATCAAACCTGCCACAACTTCACCCAGCCAGGGACCTCAGCAGACAGCTCACATCCTGCCCAGTAATTAAGTCCCCTCACTTCCACAGCACAGAAGAAATGAAAGAAAAGATGAAAGGTAGGAGGGGTTTTCTCCCAATACTTTCAGGGCAGAAGTCACCATTTTCTATGGTCTTAATATTTGTGTTTCTCCCAAATTCACATGTTGAAATTCTAATTTGGGTGATGGTATTAGGACAAGGGACCTTTGGGGGGTGATTAGGTGATGTGGTGGAACCTTTAGGCATGGGATTAGAGATCATATAAAAGAGTCCATAGGAAGACCACTTGGCACTCTTACCACTTGAAGACAAGTAAGAAGGTGACATCTATGAGCCAGAAACCGGGTCCTCATCAGACATCAAATCTGCCAACATCTTGATCTTGGACTCCGCATCTTGGATTTCTGGAGAAATAAATTTCTGTTGCTTATCCGATGCTGAGTTTAAAATATTTTGCTGCAGCATCTGCAATGGACTGAACTCCTATTCCTTTGTCCATAAGTGGCATGAAGGATATGAAATGACACTTTTCCATGGCAGATTTAATCACTGACCTACACTAGACTTACCCTGTTGTGGCCTCATCATGGATGGCATTTGCTTCTCTGAGACTGGCTCCCCGATTTACTTTTAGCCAATGGTAAATGGATGGAAGTCACCATCTGCCAGTTTTGAGATGGGACCTTCTGCAGCACATGTTTCTACTGATTTTCATGTGCCTCTTCTGTCACTACAAGGAAAACATGCTGGTTAGTTTTCTGATCCAAAAAGCATGAGAGACACATGTAGAGCTCCATGCTGGCCACCCTAGTACCCTCAGCTTGAAATAGAGATACCCAGCCAAACATTTTCTAGATTGGTTCAACCCCAGGCAACTTACAGATACACAAGTGATAATGTAGGAATGTTGTTTACATCCTTGAGTTTGGGAGTTGCCTGATATACAGAAATAGCTAACTAATACCTTAGTCATTTGAAACCCCCAGGGTCTATTAAATCTCCTCAAATAGAATTGTAGGTGATCCTTAAGTGTTTGTTGTTTGAATTAATGAATAAAATAGTCTTATTTGTGGTACTAGGCATTGAAGCAAGGCTTTCACACTGAGTTAAATCCTTAACCTTTGTGATTTAAAAAAAATCTGAGATATGTTTTCACTAAGTTGCTAAGTTGGTCAGGCTGGGCTCAAACTTGTGATCCTCTTGCCTTAGCCTCTCAGACTGGTAGGATTGAAAGCATGTACCATCATGGTCAGCTATTAGTCTATTTTTAACTACCTCATCATAATGTCTCCATATAGCTGGCATACACTTCCATATTCATTTGTATGATTTTGGAAGAACAAAAATTTATAAAAACAAGGCCAGCAAATACTTTATCTTGCTATGGGTCATTAATCATTTGAAGACCTAGGAGTCAGGGCCTGGCATCACCTGGCTACCTTTGGGATCACATGGAGGCCACAGCAGGACCCAGTCCACAGCAGGGATATGATAAAGCCAGCACCCTTTACCATCTATTGGATTGTGATGGAATGGAATGCTCCAACACTGTCAGCCACTCATTTGGATTTCATGCTGATTCCAAATGTATGACCATCTCTACTCATCAGCCAGAGACTACCAATGTGGAAACAGAGCCCCCTTCCCTCCTATTTTTCAGAAGAATTATTCCAATACGTCTAAGGGAACACATGCCTTCCCAGACTGGCTTGATGCTCTTCCCAGGAGCAGCATTCTGGAAGGTGGACCATCAGGTGGAAGAAGTACTCTTCGGAGAGCCGCCTTCCCAAGGGAATGGTGACAGCTTGAGCTTGACGGGGAGTCCTGTTGTATTCTGAGGTGTGAAGGGAAGGCATGAACTGTGCATATGCTGTACCATACAGTTTTGCCTACAAATGCGTGTAGCTTCATTGTAGCTGTGAATGCTCTGTTCCTCTCCTTTTCACCCTTGAAGATTCGCGAACACACAGGATTGAGCTGCAGGAGGCATAGCATTCCCCATGTGATAGGCAAAGGAAGATGTGGGTCTGATGGTTCTACCCACTGGGGTGATGTGCAGGTGTTAGGGAATCTCAGAGCTTGCAGCCAAACAGCACATCCTTCCATGAGCAGCCTTTGCACCATGACAATATCAAGATTTTGAGTTTCAAAGAAGGATATTTTTGATAGTTTACAGAGGCAAAATTCCTCTTAAAGGAAGTAGACATAAGAGACATCTAATCACCACCTATTCAAACTGAGGCACCATCACCTGCACAAAAGGAAACATAAGATTTACAGATCATACCTTATACAGTTTTAGACTACATTTAGGTAGGCTTAAAGACCCCAGCTTAAAACCCACCAACGTGCTATCTTTGCCAGCTAGGACAAGAGAGACTTGAAGATTCATTTCAGACTGTGAGAGAAGAGGAAAACAGAAAGAGGAAGAGGAAGAAGAGGGAGGGGGAGTGGGGAGAGGAGGAGAGGGCCTTGTCAAAATCTTTTTAGTGTTCAAAACTAATTCTGTTCATCTTGAATTTGGTGAGCTGGGTAATATTCTATACACGGCTCCTAAATGAATTATTAAATGTCAACTCAAGATGGCTTAACTAAAATATCCAGTTTAATAACCAAAACTATCTAAGGTAAAAATAACAATTTTACAGGTGGATGTAGAGTTGTCAAGTCAAACCATTATAGACAAGCTTTGGGGTTTTTCACATAATCTCCCTCCACATCTCATCCTCTGTCATTACATACCCACTCTGGAGAAGGTGTTCCATTTCAATAAAGATCATCCCTTCCATGCTAGCTTCACTGTTTAGATCAAGCCAGCAAACCTTTTTTTTCCTTCCTAAAATATAAAGCTAAACAAGATCTCAGTCACAACCACCAAATCTTTATTAATGCATTCCTTGTGCTACTTCTGAATATTAATAAAAATTAATAATTAATTTTGCCTTTGGCATTGCAAGATATACTAGTTTTAATTAGTGTACTGTACTCCTATACAATTAAAAAATAATTGATGTCCACGCTTATTGGCGGTGTCTATGATCTTCTTTTCTGTTGTTGTCAACAAATGCCTTAAAAAACAAGTTGAAGAATGTTCCGCTGTCCACTTGATTTATACACCCAAAGCAACAGGCAAATCTTTTATGATGAAACAGAACAGTTTTCTGTTTAAATTATACACAAGTATATTAACTAGAAAGAGAAAATTAAAAGCTGATGGCTACAAGGAATAATGGAAAGTCTATAAAAATGTTTTATCTATCAACAAATTTGCCTGGAAAATATCAATGGTTGGCACCATCTCTCAGTTGAAACGTGGAGAGGCCATCTTGGATTTGTTATGTCAATTCCATCAAGCATTTAATTCCAATGTCCTCCTTAATCAGCTTTAGTTATTTAAATTCAGCATATCATGTTACCGTTCTACTACATCATTTTAATTGTGCCATGAACTACTTTATTATAGAATGCTGAAGTATCTCCCTGTGTCTCCTTCTTCCTCTTTCTTTCTTAACAATGCAGACTGGAGAACTCGAGAGAGCGCCTATGGTTAAAGGGGGGAGGGAATAGCTTCCTTTGAAAATATTTGTATTAAGAATCTTGAATAGAGAGAGAGTGGTGGTTGTTTTAGAAGGGAATAATTCAAATCCCACGGTGCATGTGTTTCTCGGAAACATTTCTTAGAACCAAGAGTGTCTTATTTTTAATAAATCTCTATTGAATGACCACAAATACATGTGTAATACCAAGATGTGAAACACCAAGAAGAAAGAGACGTATTAAAACAAAGAGCAAAGAGAGAAGGTCCATTCGAGATCAGGATTTCATACTTAACCCCGGACTCACTGGTTTTAAAACGCAAAATCACAAACTAATGCAAATGATTCTTTTGTCAGATAATTGATCTTAATAGCTATGTTAATTTTAAAATTCACTATGCCACAGTATCTCTTCCTTAAAAAAAAGCAAAATGTAATCCTTGACTTATTTTCCATAAGAGTATTTCCTTCATCGACTTGCCACAGTCTGCAATTATCTTGATCTATTTACTTGTTTGCCATCCATCCCTCCTACCAGAATGTAGTTGGCCCAAGACAAGGTACTTTATGGTTTCACCCACAGCTGCATTCACAATGCCCAGCACAATGTCTAGCATAGAACTGACATTCAGCCAATATCTGTGAAAGAATATTTTTTTGTATTAAATTCTTTTATTGGTAGATTGTAGGTATACAACACAATTACATTTCTCATTGGGAATTGTACCTTTACATGATACATCTTGGTTCTTATTTTTTCCCCATTCCTAGCCCTCCCTTCACCCCCTCCACCCTTCCCTATTTACAAAGACTTTATTTCCATTTTTTCCATTTCTCAGCATTTTTCCTTTCCCTTCTTTCCTTTCCCCTGCCCCTCCCACTACCCCTACCCCTTTGGACCTTTTCTTCCCATTTTGCATTATCTATTATTCATTCTAATCATTGGTACATTTTAGGTATACAATATAATGACATTCACCGTTGGAAATTTGCACCTTTACATAGTCTCTCTTGGTTCTTATTTTTCACCCTTGCCCAGCCCTCCCTTCAACCCCTCCAGTCCTCCCTATTTACAAAGATTTTGTTCCTATTTTTCCATTTTCTCATATTAATCCCATTCCCTTCTATCCTTTCCCCTAGCCCTCCCACTTCCTTCCCTTCTGCCCCTTTTCTTCCTATTTCACATTACCTATTATACATTTAGCCCTTATTTACACTTGTGAAAGAATTTTTGAAATTCTTGCTCAAAGTATGTTTTGTTCTTCCTTGAGCTTTTCAAATTTTCTTTCTCATGTTGATTAAAATGTGAATGGATACACAAACTATGGCATGGTCCTGTAATGGTCTATTACACCTCAGTAAAAATAAACTGTTAATATACACAATACCATGAAACAATACATTGTGCAATATAAGCTAGTTTTAAAAGACTGTTCCCTACGTCTGGGGTTCCGGAGTAGGGAAGACTATTCTGTGGTGAGGAAAACAGAACTTCTGTTCTGATTTCTGTGGCCTCTGGAGGGGATTCCCTAGCAAGAGACTTGAGGAAATGCTCCGGGGGCATGAAAATATCACAGATCTTGGTCGGACAGGTCATTACTTGGATGTATATATATTTCAAAACTCATCAAACTGTGCACTTAAAAGCTGTGCACTGATGGTATGGAAATTATGCCTTAACTTTAAAAAAAAATCTTAGTAATACACATTTTCTTTTTTCTAGTCTATTGTCAAGCAATGAAGGAAATTCAGAAAATGTGTACAGTTGAGAGGCTCTGGAATTCCTCTTCTCACATCACCACCTACCTCGCCAGGTCCCCATCCAATGTTACCAGGCAGCAGAACTGACAGATATTACAACCTCTCCCACTATGTTTTGTTACCTGGCTTGCCCCTGAGCCAAGGGACATGCTGTGTGTCTCCCTGGCCTTTTGGGCAGGTAATGAAGGCAGGGGTTTCTTCATCACGAGCCTGCCATTTGGGATGCAGAGAGTGCCTCTGCCAGAAGCTGTGAATAACACTCTTAACAGTCCATGCAAATGCTGTGGTCTGTGTCTGCATGCCCAGCTGGTCTGCTGATCAATTTTTACTTCTCAAATTGGGTCAGTAAAAAAGGATGAAGTTTCTGTTTCTGCAGTCTACATTCTCATTGCAATCTCAGTCCTGGGAACACTGGGCAACCTGGAAATTTCAAGACCAGTCTTTGGCTTCCCTGGGACCACGCTTCAGAAAGGCCTGTTGACCTATTTTCTTTTTAGACTTCTTTTTAATTAAAAGACCCAAATTTCCTGGATGTTAATTGAAGATTAGCTTGAGAATTAAAATGCTATGCTTCCCTCAGAGACCAACCAAGTCCAGCGGTGAAAAACATTTCTCTTCTAATCAGCATTTGACCACCTCTGAAGGGTTTTGGCTTCAAGGAGTCCCTATGGAGTTCCCTTGTATCTGCAAGACAAGCAAAGATGAGTGCCAGAGTGTCCCAAGACTGTGTCCTGAGAGAGAATGGACTGTGGATGGAGGAGGGGAGGGCTTGGAAATCTTCTGTTGGATTATTGTAAGGGTTTCTCCCTCTCAGTCTTCTTAAGAAATGCTACTTCTCTCATCTGCACTTTGTGTTCCTATTTTCCTTTATTCCTAGGAGATTAGTACATATCTGACCAATGGGGCTGGAGTCCCAGCTTGCTTCACTTCACTTCCTACTCCTTTGTTATTGGTTGGCCACTGGGGTGCCTGGGAACTGTGGATATACTCACTGTACCAAATGACCCAAGATCTCCAAAGTGAATTTGCATATTTGACCTGAAAATTCTGGCTTTCCTGGAGCCATCCCTTCAACAATTTTTTGTTTTGCATTCTTCATGTTCACCTAGGACAGCCTAGGTCATGTTGAAAAGATGTGGGAAGGCAAAATACATAATCTCCTGGGCAGTCCAAGCATCTGCGTGTGACTTACCTAACTGCATGCAGCATAGAGAGAGAACCAAAGGCAGTGAGATGCCATGTCAGGCTAGAGCAAGAAGATGACATGAAGAGCTGGGGTGATAAGACAGGACAACATAGGGCCGGGGATTTAGCTCAGTGGTTCTGCTGCCTGCCCCACAAGCACAAGGACCTGAGTTCGATCCCCAGTACCAAAAATAAATAAATGAATAAATAAATAAATAAATAGAGACAGGACAACTTAGAGGAGCAGAGCTCAGGATGCATCTTCGTGAAGAGGGTGATGCCTGATGAGGGAGGAGGTCCTGGGCTTCACAAGCAGAGGTCTGCAGTCTAGTACAAGAGTCAGAACTGTTTTGCCAAAAGCAGTTTTATCCCCACCCTAGACTGACATTGCCTAGCCAAAATCTTGCTGTAGTCAGGGCAGACAAGAGGGACAAATTTAGTGCTATGGATGGCATTGTCAATGCATGGATCAGAGAAATGCATCCAGAGGTTCTGGTTTGAAGGCAAGGCCTGCCAAATGCACTCCCTCTCTGTGTTTCATTTGTTAAGTGGGGCCAGTGTAAACTCAGGAAATTGTCATTAAGGTTAATGATGCATCTTGCATCCTCTCCCTGACATGTTGCAAGGGCTCAATACATAGCTGCTATTATTAATTTTCTGGGCTAGAATCAAAAGAAAAGTATATTTACTTGAGATAAGGGACCACAAAAGTTGACTTTTATAGCATAAGAAACAAGCAAAAATCACAAGATTATGCAATCTGGTCTCCCCTGGGTCCTCGCCTACCTCTTCAAGGCTAAGTCCTGACCCCAGCAGGCTGTGGTTCCCAGGTAAGGCCTTATTCCAAACCCTGACCCTCATTTGTCATTTCTCAGCATTCATAACATCTACCGAGCTTATTTTATCAAAAACCACCTTTAAAGAAGTTTTTGTTTTGAAATGGACAATGAGACAGATATCCCAAGTACAAGGGCACTCTGAAATGCATTGCCACATGGGGTTGTGCACATGACAGGGAGGAAGAGGTGGTGTTTTCAGCTTTGTACCCAGATCTTGAATTTGTGCTGAGATATTGAATTCTGTCTTAGTGACTTTCCTTGTCCCCAGGACAGATTGCCCAACATTCACAACCAAAAGGAAGAGAGGTTTATATTGGTTCCTTTCTGACTCCAAGGAAGGGAGGGTATGGTGGAAAGGTCTGGGAGGAAGAAAGCTGCTCACATCATGGTGGTCAGGAAGCACAAGAAAAGGAAGGAGCCGGGGAGGAAGATATATCCTTCCAGGTCATGCCCCTAGTGTCCTGCCTCTTCCAACCAGGCCATGATTCCCATTGGGAGATTTAGCTGGATTCTTCAGTGGATTAATCTACTCATGAGTATAGTGCCCCCATGATCCAATCACTTTCCAAAAGCCCAGTCTCTGAACACAAGAGTCTTTGGGGAGACATTCCAGATCTAAACCATAACAGCCCCTCTCTGCACCAAGTACTCCAGTGTCTGCCAAGGCATGATGAGCTGATTGGTGTCTGGTGTCCACTAATAAACTTTGAGCCTGATCAGGAGAGAGGACTATGAAGCAATGGTACCAGGGACCCACGAAGAAGCTCAGGCTGGAGCAATGGCTGAAATGCACTGACCACATATGTGCTAAATGCTTTCACACACATTGTCACATCAAGTTCTCAGTCCTCCTGTATGAGGCAGGGACTGTTACTTGCTTAATCACACCCCACACATTAGACTGCAAGCTCTGAGAAGCCAGGGACTGGGTGGATCTTGGTCTTTACTACATCTCTGTTCATGACACAGTGCCTGGCATACAGCTAGTGCCCAATAAATAGTAAATAGAAAAAAGAAATAGTCATATTTGATAAGTATGACTGCCTAGTCCTCTGTTGGGTCCAAAAGCCAACTATTGCCTTCATACCCAGAGTGTTGCCGCTCTCTCTGGTTCTTGTCCTTAAAAGGCTCCTAGAAAACCTCCTTCCGTCTGCATCCTTGTAGCCTTTTGTGCTATCTTTGCTGTCACTTCCCATCTGCAACTGTCCTTTTTGATAAACCTGGGGCTACTGGGGGACAGGAGTTTGCCTTTGTGTCCTCTGAACCCTACAGTGTGTGACATTAATAGCTATCTGTGAATGATTGTGTCAGGATTACCCTGATCATTGTCCACTGCCACCTGCTACCAGGCTTCAATCCTGATTTGCTGCTAACATCATAACAGACCTGAATTATGTTTGCCGAGCTGTCTTTTAATGGGGCCCTTTGAGAAGGCCACCAGCCATCTGTCAATCTGAAGGACTTCATTCTGTCAACACTGCACCCTTAGGTGAGGGGACACAGGGGCCTCTCAGCCCTGTTCTCTTTTGTCACAACTGCTCTCTGATGGAGCCCATTTCCGACCCTTCCTCAGCCTACACAGGCAGAGATTGAGATGAGAGCAGGCAGCACCAGCCCAGAAGGGGATTGAATATTGCATGTGCTTGACTTTTTGTGCAACTGGCTAACGTGACATGTCTAACTATACAAATGGAAGTTTTATGATGATAAGATCAGTAGATACTGAGATATTTATGTGACAAGCTGACAGATATAAAACTACAAAGCTTGCTTTTATGCCTCCTATCCTTTCAGAGAAAAAAAATAAATACTAGGATGATGGGTCACTTTGAAGAGAATTTATGATCTAAATTACCTAATACCTGGTGAACTTCTAATATGCAAGATGAAGTCTCGTCATGCTATTAAAAAGATAAACTTCATTTTCTAAGATTGAAGCAAATGGATTTATCCTGAAGAGGAATTCAAACACTTTGTCTTCCTCTGTCTCAGATAAAAATCCCAAGACCTGTCAAGGAGGAAGGGGCAGCACCTGCCCGTAGAGCACACACATCTCCCCAGCTGGGGCTCAGGGTGGCCCCACCTTGTCATGAAACACCAGTCTGTGCTGCAGAGGAAAACTGTGCATCAGAAATGAGGGTGCGTTGAGCACCCCAGTGATAAAACACTGCATTATTCCCTTGTCGCTGCAGAGTGCATGTCAACCTGGAAACAGAGCAGGTGACACTTTAGAACAAGTTGTGGGTAATGGGACAGTGACCGCTGCCAGCATCTTCCCCTCAGTCCAGGTGACAACTGAGAGTACAGCATCTCACCTGAGGGTCTGGGGTTGGCCTTTCTCTCCATGCCTGGTTGGTGCACGTTTCCTGCTCAGACAGAGGTGGAAGCTGGGGCCTGGTTGATACTAGTGCTGTCTGAGACTAGACGTTAGCTGCTGCCTGACAACTTGACCTTTCTTGTTGGCTCAGATGTCCCTTTTACCTACTTCTAGGGAGCACAGTCAATCCCTGGGGCCACAGGCACATCTTTTTTTAACAGTACTAGGGACTGAATCCAGGTCCTTAATGCTAAGCTACATCCCTGGGCCTTTTATCTTTATGCCAGGGTG